CTTGCGGACGTGATTGCGACCAAAAACGCTACTTTGTAGGATAAAAATGATAAGTCACACGTAGCCAGTGGTTCAAAGGGTTTATATATCAAACGAGATAAAACCAGAGAGAGACTCCATGAGGGTAGAGGCAACTGGGAAGGGGGATACAAATTATTGAGACCCCGGAGAAATCTCTTTGCATCTTTAGAAGCAAAAAGGGACACCCCCTTCACAGGTACATGATTAGCCGAAATTGCAGCTAAGTACACCTTAAGAGAGGAATTGGACAAACCTTCCTGTTTGAGGTGGGACAAAAACTCTAGTACCAAAGGCAACCCACAGTTAGTAGGATCGACGTGTTTGCGTGATACCCATGTAGAAAACAGTCTGAATTTAGCCTCGTAAGATCTCCGCGTGGACAACTTACGTGCAGCTAATAGTATGTGTTGCACTGCCGGGCAGTAGGCCGATCGGGCCGAATTCGCCAGGCAGTTAGTTTGAGGGACGAGATCCCCGGTTCGGACGGAAGAAGACCTGACACTAGGTCCGTCTCCTCCGGGAACACTTGGAATTGTCCTTGTGCCAGTGACAATAGGTTCGGGAACCACGCTTGGCGGGGCCAAAAAGGAGCCACCAATATCAGGTCCGCATCTTCTGCATGAGCTCTGGCTACCACTCTGTTTAGGAGTGGTAGAGGTGGGAATGCGTAACAGAACAGACCTGCCCAAGGAATGTCGAAAGCGTCCCCTAGGGAATGGTGCGCATAGGCCGCCCTGGAGCAGAACATTGCGCATTTTGCATTGGCTGGAGTGGCGAAAAGATCCACCATGGGTGTGCCCCAAGAACGGAACAGAGGATAGAGGTACCGCATGTTGATGGACCATTCGTAAGTGTTCTGAAACACTCTGCTCAGATGGTCGGCACGAACATTCAACCGGCCTGCTATGTGGATGGCCGTAACGTGTGCCTTTATTTGTATGACCTGGTGCCACAATTTTAGGGTCTCTTTGGTGAGGGCCACTGACGTGGTACCTCCCTGCTTGTTTATATAATATTGCACAGTGGTGTTGTCTGTGTGAAGCATCACCCTGCGTCCTTGAAGTTGCGCTGCAAAAGAGGAAAAGGCACATCTCACTGCTTTCATCTCTAAGATGTTGATGTGTAACCTTGATTCCCCTACGGTCCACAGACCTTGCGCAGCCAAACACCCACAGTGCGCACCCCAACCCAGGAGTGATGCATCAGTGTACAAATGGGTGTCATGTTTCTGGAACCCAAAGGGGATCCCCGCAGCTATGTTTGATGGCGATAGCCACCAGTCTAAAGATTTGAGAACTACCCGAGGCATAGTTAAGCTGACTCGGGGTGAGTGTATATGAGCGCGGAAATTGCGCAGAAACCAAGTCTGAAACACCCTGAGATGTAGCCTGGCAAAGGGAACTACCGAGGTGGTAGCAGACAAATGTCCCAACAGGCATTGGAAAAATGAGGCATGCCTGCGTCTAAGGTGGCGTAGGGCTCTGATGAACCGTGCAATCCGCTCGGCTCTGATCGAGGGCAGGTAGGCTCTTGCCGATACGGAATCCAAAATCGCTCCTATGAACTCAATTCGTTGAGTAGGGGAGAGCTTAGACTTTTGGAAGTTCACTAGCAGTCCCAACGACTGCAACGTAGTAAGTACCAACTCCAACTGGGCGTGGAGTAGAGCAGGCGTGTCTGCAACTAGCAACCAATCATCCAAATAAGGATAAAGAATGCAGCCCCGCAGTCTCAGGTGAGCCACAACAACGGATAAACACTTTGTGAATACCCGTGGTGCGGACGCCAATCCAAAAGGGAGTACCTTATATTGGAAAGAGCGCCCGCAATGGTGAAAGCGAAGGAACTTTTGGCAAGTTTTATGTATCGCTATGTGGAAGTATGCGTCAGTCAGATCAATAGTGACAAAATACGCCCCAGGACGTAACAGTAAGATCACATCTTGCAACGACAGCATACGGAACCTTGGCTTTCGTAGGAAAGTATTCAGGTTCCGTAAATCCAAAATAGGTCTCTCCCCACCATCCTTTTTATCTATAAGGAAGAAAGGGGAGCAAAACCCTGGGTCATCATCCGAGGACACCTCTGCGATGGCCCCTTTGTTCAGAAGATCTGACACTGGTCCCGACAACGGCTGGATCACGTTGTCGCGACATAAAGACAAACAGGGCAATGGTGGATAGGATAACCATTCTAACAGATAACCAAACTTTATTACAGATAACACCCAGTTATCATCAGTAATAGCCAACCATTTGTCATAAAAGAAAGATAAACGAACCCCAAACTTAAAGTCTGGGCCTAGTCACGGGGCCTCTGCCCCTCTAGCAGGTTGGTCACGGTGAGCCCTATTCCCTGACGGAAATTTGGACCTCTGACGCCTATTTTGATAGGACGTCTGGTACACTTGTCTCGGAGGCTGATAATTTTGCCTCTGAAACGGTTCATGGAAGCGGTATGGGCGGGAATAGCGGTGGGACGGCTTAGGCCAATACCTGGATCTGTGAGTAGGGTTGTTGGGAGCAGTGATGCCAAAGGATCTGGCCTGCAACTTATATTTACGAATGCGTTCCAGGAACTCATCAGTTTCCTGACTGAACAATTCCTTCCCTTCAAAGGGTAAATCTTCAAGTTTAGCTCGTGTATCAAGGGGTAACGCCGAGGATCGAAGCCAAGCATGTCTCCTCAGCACTATAGCGGATCCCATTGCTCTACTCTGGCAATCCGTGGTATGGCGGGCCGCGTTGACCTGTAATTTACCTAAACGCTTGCCCTCGTCTGCTATCACCTTAGCCAAACATCTCTGATCAGGGTCAAGTTGGTCCAGGTAAGGGGTCAGTTTATCCCACAAAAGGTGGTTATAGAGCCCCATGACAGCCTGGAAGTTTGATATACGCAACCCCATAGCTTCGGAAGAGTAAATCTTCCTGCCTAACGTATCAAGCTTGCGGCCTTCCCTATCATTAGGGGTGGTCCGCGTCCCCACTCTAGTACGAGCTGGGATGACCTCAGCAATAAAGGAATTAGGTGGGGGATGTCTCGTCAAAAACTGCACGTCAGAGTCAATGACTTTGTAAAGGCCTTCCATCCGTCTTCCAGAAGGAGCCGTGGAGGATGGGTGCGTCCAAGCCGCCATCATCACCTCCTGCAACCCTTGTAGGCATGGCAGAGCCACTGGACCAGTATCAGGGGTAAACAACGCCTGCATAAGCGGATCTTGTGTCCGTTGTTCAGATGCAGCGTGCCTCAAATTCAAGGCCTTGGCCATCCGAATAATCTGGTCAGCCAACGATGACAGGTCTTCAGATGGTGACACTGCTGCCGGATCTGCAATCGCCTCGTCAGGCGAAGGGAGTGATCTTACATCCGATTCAGCATCCGAATGCGACCCCATAGAGAAGCCTCCAGCGTCCGGATTGTAGTAGAGATCCTCAATAGGCTCGCCTTGAAGTATCATAGGCGACATCGATCGGTGCTGCAAGCTAGCGGAAGCCTCCTGAGTGCAGTGGCAAGGAAGCCACGGTGGGGGCATCTGTATATCCTCATCCGGAAGCGGACTGACGGACCCGACCATCAGGAGATCCGGTGAAGGCGATCTGTCTCCTTGGCGCAGTTCCAACACTGGAGACATATCGGTACCGAGCACCGGTACCGATGCACGCTCTGCCTGTTCGCTCGGTGCCGAGCGGATGTCTCGGCGTCGAGGAGAGCGACCTCTCGACGTCGAGCGTGGCGCCGAACCATCCCTGCGCCGAGGCGACGGTGACCGTCTGCGCCGAGTCGGCGTCGATCCCTCGGTTCCGACGTCCTCGGTACCGAGGCGCATCGGCGGCGAAGAACGCTCCTGCGTCTTCTTATGCTTTTTGGCCTTTTTGGCCGGCGGTACTGAGCCAGCGCGAGACTGGGCAACCGCCTTAGCAGCTTTTGGCCGTATCGGGGCTGAGCACACCGAAGGGGTCTTCACTTTCTCTTGCTGGCCAGCAGTAGATACGGACAGGGCCCTCTCCCACAGCGCCGCTTTCAATTTGGCAGACCTCCCTTCACGAGCCCTCGGGGTGAGGGCCTTACAGGCCTTACAGGCTGCCATATTATGGGTCTCTCCCAAACACAGCACACAGGCTGAGTGCTCGTCAGACTTAGACATCTTAGCCCCACAAGTCTTACAATTTTTGAAGAGGGCCACTTTCTCCTTTTTCTCTTCTTTCTTTGAAGCCATTTTTCTTCTGAGGAAAATGTCTTCCCTCAAGCTTAGTTGTTCGCTCGCTCGAAGAACACGTCCTCTTTCGGTGGCGGCAGAAAGAGAACTGAGGGGAGAGGGCTGGCTCCGCCCAGGTCAGGTGGTGTTTTGGGCGGGAAACCGCCTCCTCGTTGGAGCCTAGCCCTCTCGGGTTGAAAATTCTAAAAAGAAGCTCGCTAGCTCCTCCCGGTGGTCGGCCTGCCTACTGCAGTCCCATGTGGGACCGCACAGAAGCCTTGAAAATGAACTAATATTTCTCAGGCAGAGAATGTACATGCTCCTCTTCTGGGCAATGAAAGAATTTCTACAGTGTTATTACTACATTATTATATGCAGATGATATGATAATTGTTTCATTTTAAAAGGTGAACTAAAGACAGCCTTGCAGGCATTATTTCGATACTGAACTGAAAATGTAATGTCTATAAATATCAATAAAACCCAAATAAATTCTTTAGAATGGTCTCTCACCCACTAGACAGTTGTGATAGGAGAATATAAAATTGAACAAGTTTGGTCATATAGGATATTTTCTAACACCCACTGCGTAGTCATTGGATCCCAACATCTATACAAGGTTCCATTGCCCAACAAGAAAACTTGATGAAAGGACTGAAAATCTCAAAAATTAATATTGTTACAAATCCTTGATTTGGCGCTGAGATTTATGAAAAGAGAAACTGATAGGTAAGTGTTAACAATAAATTTTCATTTACTAAATTACCTTTATGCAAGTACTTACGAAGCAGTGAGATAGCCCTCCAAAAAACCTGCAGCATACATGAGGTCTTCATTGCTAATGGACTGTCTACCATAGCCTGCTTTGATCTCAAGAATTCCCCACCCGGTAGACTGTATAGTGTCATTGTAGTAACCATAAGCATCACCATTCGTATCCATTACATCTTTAACAAGGAATTTCTTTTCCGCTTTCACCCGGTATACAGTTGCATAGTGGATATCTGCAAAGACATCGAACAAGAAGTTTTAGATTTTGCATTGTAAATAGGAGCAGTGACCTAAATCTGAAGGGACAGAATGATTAATGGGGAGGGGGAGTTCCTTCCTACTCATCACTTTCCTCCATCGATTACTGCATTGCTGTTTTGTTTTTTTTTTTGGTAAACAAAGTTTTATTATTTTTCAATCGTAGGTATTCAACATTTATCCATTAAAACTTTAAAAATAAAAGTACATAAACGATTACTTACCCTACAATCCATACGCCTTCCCCCCTCCTGTGGCTTCCCGCAATGCTTTCACCCCCTTCCCCTTACTTTTATATATTTCATCAGTTGCTAATATCAATTTCTAATCATTTTAAAAGATAACATCTTTTTACTTAATATTGTTCTAAACACAGTAAATTGTTTGTCACATCCCAGTTCTTTTCCAGATAGTTCTTAAAGTCCTTCCATTCCTCAAAAAATTCTTCGTCTTCTTTGTTGTTCAATTTCTTGGTAATTTTATCCATTTCTGCCATGAACAGAACTTTATGTATCCAGTCCTCAGTCTCTGGTACTTTTTCAAGTTTCCAATATTGTGCATATAGCATTCTTGCTGTCGTTATTAAGTACCAGAATAAGGTTTTTTTATCTACATTGACTTCTTCCGTTTTTAGTCCCAAAAGCAGAATTTCCGGTGCTTTTTTAAAAGAGCATTGTAGTATCTTCTGCATTTCACTATGGATTTTCGTCCAAAAGTCCGCAGCTTTTTCGCAAGTCCACCACATATGGTAAAATGAGCCTTCATGTTTTTTACATTTCCAACATTTATTAGACATGTTTTGGTTCATATTTGCTATTTTTTTCGGAGTCATGTACCATCTATACATCATTTTATAACAATTTTCTCTAACATTGGTACAGGTTGATATTTTAATAGAGTTTTTCCACAAATATTCCCAAGAGTCAATCGTCACTTCTTTGTTCATATTTATTGCCCACTTTAACATTTGCTCTTTAACTGTCTCATCTTCCGTATACCATTTTAATAAAATTTTATACATATTTGAAATCTTTTTTTCCCCTCCTCTTTCCCAAATGCTCTCCATTTCATTTTTCTCCTTTGTAAATCCATAATTTTTTCTATCTGTCTTAAACAAATAATAAATCTGCATATATCTTAACCATTCATAGTTAAAGTCAAGTTCATTCTGCTTTTTCATTACCCATTCTGTTCCCTCTTTTTTAATTAAGTCTCTATATGGCAACCAGTCTTTACCTTGCTGTCTTGAGTAAGGTGTTAAAACTTCCTCTGGTACAATCCAGAGTGGCCTTATATCATCTGCATTGCTGTTTTAAACAGCCCACATGGATCACATCTATCTAATCCTATTAGCCAAACACTAGAAAGCCCTACCTCACAGTTGTTCCCCTCCCCACCAGCAGCTGGTATTCAACAGCAAACTGCCTTTCAACCTGGAAGCTCCACTTAGTCATAAACTAAAAGATGTTTTAGATATATCTTCCATGGCTTTAATTACTTTTAAAAACAATACAAACAAGTGACCATTGCCGCATTCTGTGGTGGTGATACATATTTTAGTTATGTAATCAGGTCTATTAAGAACCCTGAATACTATTATTCTCAAGAAAGAAGAACAGAAGAAGGAAACCAGATAGGCAGGGCAATCTCAGCTTGGATTACTCCAGTCTCTCTGTGTGTGTTAAGTGCCATCAAGTTGCTTCTGATTTATGGGGCTTCCCAGAAAAGTAACAAAAGGTGATTGCACCCAGGCAGGGTGTACAAAAGAGCTGGCAGTGTGGAGGCTTCACCCATGCCTGAGGCAGCTGGTAGGCTAGCAGGCATTCATGCAAGGGTGAATTCACTTGATCTTGGTTGCCAGCGACACATCCTTACACTTAAGGATCTTTTCTAGCTCCTTCACGGCTGCCTTTCCCAGTCTCGATCTCCTTTGGATTTCTTGGGTGCAGTCTCTCTTTTGGTTGATGATGGAACCAAGAAATAGAAAATCTTGAATAATTTATGTTTCTTCATTGTCAGCCTTAAAGCTGTGTAATTCCCCAGCAGTCATTACTTTTTACTTCTGTACTGTACTATAATCCTGCTTTGGCACTTTTTGCTTTAACATTCATCAGTAGTTGTCTCGAGTCTTCACTGATTTCTGCCAGCAATGTGGTGTCAACTGTGTATCTCAAATTATTAATGTTCCTTCCACCAATTTTCACTCCACCTTCATCTAAACGTAATCCAGTTTTCCTTATGATATGTCCTGCATATAGATTGAACAAATAGGGAGAGAAAATACATCTTTGTCATACACCTTTGCCAATTGTAAACCATTGTTTCTCCATATTCTGACCTAACAGTGGCCTCTTGTCCAGAGTATAGGTTGACCATCAAAGCAATCAGATGCTGTGGCACACTCATTTCCTTTAAAACCAACCATAGTTTTTCATGATCCGCACAGTCAAAAGCTTTGCTATAATCTATGAAACACAAGCTGATTTTCTTCTGAAATTCTCTCATATGCTCCAGTAACCAATGCAAATTTGCAATATGATCTCTAGTGCCTCTTCCTTTTCTGAATCCAGCTGGAACATCTGGCATTTCTTATTCTGTATATATTAACAGTCTTTGTTGTAAGATTTTGAGTATCACTTTACTTGCGTGAGGAATTAATGTGATGGTCCAATCATTGCTGCAATCTTTGATGTCTCCTTTTTGGGAACTGGAACAAAGATTGAGCATTTTCAGTCTGGCAGCCATTGTTTTGTTGTTGTTGTTGTTAGATTTTGATGGACTCTGTTTCTGTGGCTTGGAGTAGCTCTGTTGCTATCCCACCTACTCCTGCTGATTGTTTCTCCCAACTGACCTCAGAGCGGCTTTTACTTCACTTTCTAAAACTATAAGTTCTTCTTCAAAAGATTCTTCTTGGAAGGAATCCATCATTCTTTAATCTCTTTTGTATAGTTCATCAGTGTATTGTTCCCATCTTTTATTTTGTCCTGTTCAGTTAATGTATTTCCATGTTAATATCTGAAACCATAGTTTAAAGATGGATAACTAAACCAAAGTCAATCTTAGCTCTGGTTTTATGGACTGTATAAATGAAGCCATGCTGACTTAACACTGGCTGGTTTCTTAGCACCGTTTTTACTTATCTCTGAATATACAGACGCCTGGCAGAGCTAAGGTGAAACCTCCATTTTTTAAGGCAAACCAAAATCTGGGTGATTATCTGTAAGCCAAATCCTGTTTTCATAAACTAACCCTGTTTTTGGATCTGAAGTAGGCCCATGAAAAGTTCACTCTCGAAGTCAGAGGTGGCCCAACCCATTAAAGGTTCTATATATTCTTATGTCATACCTGAACAGCATGGGAGCTGCTTTCTTGTGTCTTTTTACCATGTGACAACTGAACAGTAAAGGATTCCACCGGAACCCAGAAAGCATGAAAATATGTAATGGATATAGCAGTCTGCTGACTGGAATGCATCAGTTAGAATTTTTCTGCTACTTTTAAAAGCTCAAAAAGCCAATTACAACCTTTGCTTTCAGCTATAATTTCAACACAAAAGCATAATTTTTTGCTACTGTATATCATGTGGTTATGTTTGATGCATGGGTGCCCATAATGACTGCAATTTTTGGCTACTTTCAATGGGGAATAGGTGGGGGTGGGAAGTGATATACAGCAGTGTATTTAAATTTGAATTTTGAAAGAAGGAAGTGACTTCAGAGGAAGAGGTGAGTTTGGGGCAGTGTTCTGAAAGTGACATCATTGGAAGGGGTGGAGCGTGAGAAATGACATCACTTGACCTTTGACCTGGAAGTGACATTACAGGATGTGACATCACAAACGTGATGTCATATCCTGGCTCCTGGCTCCACCCCCAAAGTCTCCAGGCTCCATCCCCAAAGACCCTAGATATTCCCTGAGTCAGACTTGGCAACCCTACAATCCACATTCCAACTGAATTTTGCCAGTTCACACTGTAAAAATTCAGTTAGAAAGTGGACTGAAAGTGGATTATTTAGTGTGTGGCTGCAACCTAAGACCACTAATATCAATGGAGTAGCTTGCATAGCATTGTACTGAGGGAATACAGAGACTATAGAGCACAATAGGTTCCACAAGGAAGTTACAATGTCTCATTTGTGGGCTTTCTATCTGCATTAATTTTTCTGAGAAACTGAAACAAAACAAAATTTAAGCAAAAAAATATTTTGCATGATTGTGTTGATTCTACACATTCCCAGGGTATTTCACTTTTGCATATGCCTCAGATTAGCACCAATCCATGGTGGTGGTGGTGGTGGGGGACTATTTTAAAAAATCTTGGGTAGGATCCTATCACTCCATTCTGCTAAGTATGAAGTTTTTCTCTTTTGCTACTAGCCTTTTACCAGTGACGGAGGCTTTCCTCTGGATGAGGGATCTGCACTTAATTTACCAGAATGGTAGGATTCAATCTTTTATCTTTGTCTTCCTTTATTCTACATAGCTGCTTTGATTTTTAAAGTATTAGCAGGAATAATTCTACCCATATATATTTGCATCTCACATGGTTTTATCTTGTTCTGTTGCTATGGCTTTTTTGCTAATGCGATAAAGATTATTATTATTATATTTGCATCTAAACCTAACAATAACAGAGAAACCAATTAGTTCCACTTCCCATATTTTTTCAGTGTAAACAATTTCTGATTTGCTGAACATCCACATTTACAGAACTTGCACAAAACTTCTTGTTTCATTTTCTGCCACAAAGAGCATTCAAAAGTTAAAGATTCAGTTTAATTCTTAACTATATTGAGAAATACATAGTTGCCCAATCTCATAAGATCTTGGGAGCTAAGCAGGGTCAGTTCTCGTTAGTATTTGGATGGAAGACCACCAAGGAATACCAGATTCAATATGCAGAGGAAGGCAATGACAAACTGCTTTTGTTAGTCTCTTGCCTTGAAAAACCTCTGGGGTCACCATAAATTGGCTG